TTTTCCATTATCCCAATATTAACACATTCCCAGCAGGGCAGTCAACTGCGGCCCTGGCCCATGCTTCGCGAGAAGACCTCTGAGATGCTCACGCCGCAATACTTCAGCTCCTGAGGTCGATGGAAGTTGCTGCTCTTACCAGCTGTCAGACACTCTTGCTCTCCAGTCCAATTCATAACTGGGGGTTTTCCCAAAATTAAAGGTGCCGCTTTGGGGGTCCCTTCAATAAGGACAATAATCTTTTTGTGTGTATATTTGGGTCCCCCGATTTAGGGAAACTCACTGTCACGACAACCGTCCTCCCCGCGATCGTCAGAGATGGAGCTAATGAAGTTTGCTGGCTTCCTGTGTACGCATGGTGCTCAAGCGCTCTCACTAGGACCGGAACAAGCAACACTCAACAGCGTCTAAATATCCGCAGAAAAAACACGTGCAGCGTGGGGGGAGCTGGGTAAGTATACCTAGAAGGCACTAGGGGCCATAGAATACCCGAATTATCCCCATGACCTACTTTCTATGTCCCCTAGTCCTCCAAGCAAACCTACCTGCCAAACCCTAAACCCTAAANNCTGAACTCTAAACCTGAAACCCTAAACCCTAAACCCTGAACCCTGAACCCTAAACCCTAAACCCTAAACCCTGAACCCTGAACCCTGAACCCTAAACCCTAAACCCTAAACCTACCTGCCACAGCCTGAAGCTGAACACTCCGAGTGCAGTGCCGTACCATGCCCAGCTTCTTGGCCCAGGTGTAGTCCACTGGAACCTTTTTAGGGTTTAGGTTTTAGGGTTTGGGGTCTGGAGTCCAGGGTTTAGGTTTCAGGATTTAGGGTTTAGGATTCAGGGTTTAGGGTTTAGGATTTAGGGTTTAATGTTTAAGGTTCAGGGCCTAGGGTTTAGGTGTAATCCACTGGAACCTTGCAGGGGTTAGGGTTTAGGGCACATCTCATGCATGTATTTTGGGGTTATATAGGGACATGCTGGATTTTTTAGCGACTCATGGAGAATCACATGGAAAAGTCATGCGGAAAATGAAGCAGAATCCCCTTCTTGGTATGGGAGTCTCTTGAATCCGTGGGTCCAATCTTGGGTCCCAAGCTAGGGCCGTAATACTTTAGAGTGGCGTGGGAAGAGGATACAACCCCGTTGGATCCGATTAGCATTTGTTAACATCTGTTGAGCGGCTTCACGCAACCATAAACCCTACATCCTAAACCTCAGACGTGAAGTCTTACCTTCAACCCCTAAAACCTGAATCCTAAACCTTTGGATCCTAAACACTAGACCCTAGGCACTGTCCTGTAGACAATCTCAGCCCCTCCTTGCTCCCAAGGGCCCAGCCTGGGGCGTCTCGCCCTCCGGCTCCTGAAGCGAAAGCCTAGCTACCTTCTACCTTGGGAATCATGGTGCTGTAGTATACCAAGGTCATGCACAATTTTAATATCACCAGTAGTAGGGGGTTTAGGGCAGCGGTTGTGTCCGAAGGTTTGGGATCAACCTCGGCCTGTCCTCAGGACGTCACAGCTCCAAGTTTTTGAAAGCTGTAGGCTCACTTTAAGCCCGCCAGCATGTTGGGTGATTCAATGCAGACAACCGGGCGCCTCAACGATCTCACCCTCCTCGACCATTTTCGTATACCTTACCAGCTCAGTCTAGCAGACAACTGGGATGGTCCCTTGAAGCCCAGAAAGCCTAGGCATGATCTGGACAGGCTTCAGAAAGGCCCAAGTCAATCATACATTCAGCAGCCTCCAAATTAAAAGAGTCATATCAAAGTTGGTAAGAGGGATGACCACAGCTTAGAGAAAGCATGTCAGTGCAACTACAAAGACTTGCAGACTAAGTTCCCCAACGCTCCGTGAGCAAAAAGGACAGATGAGGCGGTCAACAGCAGCTTAGTGTTGCAGTACATCTACTGCATTGGTCTGGGTTGCTTCTAAGGAACTTTACGCAAATTACCATATTATAGTGAATGTTTGTGGGTGCCCTTTTTTTAGCAATCTAACAGCGACCCAGCGATGGTGACAAGCTTTGAAGAAAACAGGCAAAGAAAGGCGCCCCTCAAACAAGATCATGACAGAGGCCTCTGAAAAATGTGAAATGATGTGAGATATGACTTTTCGGCACCTTGTAAAAACAGCTCAAATCAGAATTGGCTCCATGCTGGTTGGCTCCCTTACCTTTCAGGAATCTCTCACAGGATTTTTCCAAGGATTGGATTTTGAGGTGGGAATTAAATGGTGCCTAAACTCACCATCTGACTGCAGTGTACCGAAAACTACGCGATCCCAGTAGATAGTGGCCCTTGAAACCCTACACCCTAAGCCCTAAACCCTAATCCCTAAAACCTGAACCCTAATCCCTAAACCCTAATCCTTAATCCCTGAACCCTAATCCCTAAACCCTAATCCCTAAACCCTAATCCCTAAACCCTAAACCGCCTGCCACTAAGGCCCCAACAAGTTGCTGATGGTCTCCGGCAGCTTGTCGAAGGAATCCGGCACGATGATGCCTGCTTCCTCTGCGGGACTCCGCCAACCCTGAAATAGTCTCCTTTAAGTAGATAGAATATAGGGTTTAGGGTTTAGGGCTTGGGGTTCCTAATATATAACATGGCTAGCGATGCCCCTTATTGGGTTATATAGGGGTTATATTGGGGTTATATAGGGATAACAGAAAAGAACATGGAAACTACTATTTGGGGTTTAGGGTTTAGGGCTTAGGGTTTAGAGCCATAGTCCCCAAGTAGGTAGAATATGTCTTCGGGTATATTATAGTAAGATGCCCATATACCCCATATTCTATCTACTTAAGGTGTCAGGAGAACCATTCGTAAAGCAGCATCAGAACAGTTGCGGATCCTCTTTTAAGCAGGCCATAGATGCACTCTCCAATGATCCCAGCCTTATTGAGTAGCTATCTTTGAGAATGAAATCCGAAACCTTCATTTTTTTTGAGCTGTAGAAATGGCTCAGCCCAGGCAACATGACTGCCTTCATGGCTGCGTTCTTGGCCATAGCGGTTTCTGTGTCGCCACGCGCCTTGCGAGCAGCAAGGAATTGGTTTTGATGTTGCCCCCGTAAACTACTTGTTGGTGGCTAGTAGGGAATATAACTCCTATGTAATACCTACATGATATAATTGCTTGTTCCCTACTAACCCAACCTAAGACTAGTTGTTGTCCTTCCTATTCTGAGCACCATTATCATCCGACTTTGCGCCTATCATTCTGAACATGCTTACTGCTCTTTCATTGCATGTGGCGCCATTCACTATCTCGCATGCATTTTTTGGTGGTCTTTCTGTTTGATGCTCGAACTGTCATCGCGATGACGACCAACATCTCAGCAATTGCAAGCAAGACTAGAAGGACGAGACAGGTGATGTAGAGGCTCTTGCCAACGCTATCCCTGATGCCACCGCTTTGCTCTTTATACCAGTGTTGTAGATCATCAGGGTATCCTTGCTAAAGCCCAGCTCAAAAAGTAGACCATGACTGCCAGACACTGATGTCTGAAGCTCATCAAGTGCTGAAGGCGCCTGGGCACCAGCGTGACCGAACTGCACCTGGAGCCAAGACGTTCTTTCAGACAGCTAAGGCTTCCTCAATTCTGCTTCGCGGGGAAGAATGTGAGAATCCCAGTTGTCCATAGAACACGCTCTGGCAAGCAAAGTCCACAGTCTGTTGCCTCATTCAAAATTACGAAGCACCCCAAGAGCGCAACCACATAGGATTCAGTCGTATCTGGCTCGAACAGGCAACCTCTCTCCTACCAGTCCCTCACATTCGAAGCCTGCCTCGGTCGCGAAGCAGGAAGCACAGGTTCCGACGCACCAGGCGATGACTGTCGCAAGGGCTTGAACATGACAGTGACAGCGGGAGAAAGTACGCCTTTTAATCTTGGCACCTCAAAACCAAATACACCAGACAACCTATCGGTGCAAGTTGACGAGGATAGGCGGCCTATGAGGTGTACGCTGAAGGTCCACCAACCAGAAATCAAGTGCATTCTAATCAATCTTCAACTCAATCCCCCACAACATTATGGCAAAATTCTCACGCAACTCTTCTAACCTGCCTGGCTTGTCGATGCGCCCAGATTTCACGGCCTTGATGACATCATACTCATCCTGACCACCCACCTGCTCTGTTTGAGGTATTAAGGTCTAGCAATTAGGGTCTTCATTAGGGTTTAGGGTATAAAGGTCCAGGAACTAGGGTTTTTTAAGGGTCTAGGGAATTAGGGCTGAATTAGGGGTATGGCCCACAAGAATGGAGAACTGGAAGCTGGGTATATGTGGCAGCCGCGAAGGGATTATGTAATGCAGGGTAGGGGCCGAAAAACTGCCAGTAACTTTTGAAGTGCTCTGTAACTGTTACAATTATACAAGGAATCTTGGACCAATATCTGGGTAATCCCCAAACCCTACATGAAATCACAATGAGCTGCTCAGAGTACGCAAAGAGCGCTCACAATTTCCGCTTGCGGGGCTACTCACATGAAAAGAGGCTCACCGCACATGATCCTACCAAACCTTGCTTGAGTTGCTACTACATCCCTTTGATTCGCAACAAGAAGCCCCAGAATGTGCGAAGCTCCTCTCCCGGAAGCAACCTACCCTCAACTTCCAGGCACCTCGCCCAGGAGCAGGAGGATCTTTGCCCCAGGCGCATCCTGAAGAAGCAGGCAGGTCTGCAAGGCTCCATGCAAGAACTGCTTTGCTCAGATTATCCTGTACCGCGTCGGCACCTGTTGAGTCGGGGGGCAAGCATGGCAGGAGAACAACACTTTCACCCTGACTGAGCATCCATCCGAACGTGCCCGCATCCCTTTTTTGGCATTTACTCAAGGCCCCGAATGCTGAAAGTGGGAAATGGATACGACACGCACACACATCCATTTTGTCTCCCAAGGCCCCAAGCGCCAGAAAACGGGTATGGCACGCAACGCTGTAGCCACCACTACTTCTCCATACATGACTGCTGCTGGTGCTGTAAACTATAACCATTTTCACATGCCTGGCCGACATTGCCACACTCAGAGAGCTGAGACGATTTGAAAGTACATGTTGGCGTATCCTACGTCGTGTTTGTCGCTGCAAGCTTTCGTTGAAGACAAAACCTTTTCATGGTAACCCTGAACCGTAAACCCTATATCCTGAACCCTAAACCCTTAAACCCACAGTCCACCCTTCACCACTCCTTGGAACTATAGGAGTGTTACAGCGGGTGATTAGTAGGGTCATTGGTTCACCGCAGGGTCCCTAGAGATGTCAGACAAACATTTACAAGGTAAACGGAGTTTCCCAAAAAATGGGGAAGGGGGTCCCTTTTTGGGGGATCCTAATCACAAGGATTATAAGATTTGGGGATCTACTTGGGTTCCGTCCCTTTTATGGAAACTACCAAATGTATGCCGAAGTTTAAATCGCAGTTCACTATGCAATCCTGGTAGCGTAGGAGGTGATCGATAAACCGACTGCCAGGATACCTGGCACGCGTTTCGAGGTCAGCAGGACTTGCCCGGAATTACTGTTCCCAACCGGTTTAGGGTTTAGGGCTTAAGGTTCAGGGCAAACTGGGCGAAGTGTAAATAGGGACCGCTATAGGGGCCCGGATTGTAGTGAATTTAAACACATGCCCATGTACATTGGCCATATTCTTAACGCTAGTCTCTCATCACAGCATAACCATTTTGCAGTAATGGAAATGGTAGTTTCCCAAAATCGGGGGACCCCAACATAGATCCCCGAATACTATAATCCTTGCGATTAGTACCCAAAAAAAACTAATTTTTGGGAAACCCCAAATACTCCTTGATTGGTAAGCTGAAAAGGCAAGCCAGATCGGACGGAGCCTGATCGCAAGGTAGCTCAAAGAAAGATGGGCTTAGGGTTTAGGGTTTCGGCCCCCTTAATAGTGGAAAATCAAATGGAAAAGAAAATGAAAAATGAAATGGAAACTGGAATTATATAGGGTTTATATGAGCAATAGTCGGAACTCCTAATATCCCCTTAGAAAAGGAGAATCATATGGACAAGAAAATGGAAAATGAAATGGAAGCTGCTATATATAGGGTTATGTAGGGGATTATAGGGGTTATAGTCTAAACTCCTAGCCCCTAAAACACTCCCCAATATAATCCTCTATATGACCCCCTTAACAAGTTGAGACTATAGCTCACAGAGAAATGGGAAAGGATGAAAATGGGAAAGGAGGAAACCAGACCAGAGGAGGAGAGTGATCCGAAGTGGCATGGCTGCAATGGAGAGTCTGATGGGAAAGACAATGGAAACTTCAATTAGGGGCTACAGGGATATATAGCAAGTATCAAAACAAGGGCTACAACCCTAAACCCCAAACCCAGGCACACCTCTTTGAAACGCCATCCCACTCTTGCATCATCGGTGCTCCCCCCCATCCTCGGACACTGCTGATACAACCCCTATAGATTGGGTACTGCCCCCCCCCAGTAACAGTCTATATTAGGGGTCCTATTAAGGGCTAAAAAAAACCATACTATGATGATTATCCAACTGTTACTGAGGGGGGGCAGTACCCAACCTATAGATGATACTGACTCTCTACTCGGGAGCTGCTGACAGAAAACAGCCCCACCAAATTCAGAAGAAGCGTGAGCCCCTAGTCCTCTCATGATCCCAGTGTACCGTTAGGGTCCGTAAAGGTGGACAACCAGAACCCTGGGCCCCAAAAGCCTAAATCCTATACTATAAACCCCAAAACTACCCTAGACCCTATACTTTTAAACCCTAAACCAAACCTAATCCCTATACTTAAAACCCTAAACTTAACCTGCCTTCCTCAAACCTGGCCGGGTCTGCCGATCCCCGCCAATCGCCACGCCCTCGTAGACGCCGTTGGAGTTCCGGCAGATGATGTTGTTCTGGGCTACATTGGGGTCATATTCGGGTTATGTTAGGAGTCATATACGGTTGATATTGGGGGTGAAATTAGGGATATATTAGGGATTATACAGGGGTTATATTGGGGATATAATGAGGATACATTCGGGTTATATTAGGGGCTATATTAAGGGTTGTATTTAGGGGTTGTATCAGGGGTTACATTAGGGATAAACTAGGAGTTAAATTGGGGTTATGTTAGTACTTGCTGGCGGTAGCTTGAGATGAACGGACAGGATATACGGACTGCTATTGATAGATTCCCCCGTTCCCTGGTAGCCATCAGGAGGGTTAGCTTTGTAGGGTTTAAGAGGTTAGGGATTGAGAGTTTGGGTGTACAAGTTTCAGAGCTTCTCGTGGGACAGGTGGCGGAACGCTTTTGAGGATGTAGGATTGAGGCGTTAGGGCCTTTAGGGGGTGTGGAATCTACAGGTTGGTAAGCACAGGTATAAAAAAATGGCCCCAAGCAGCCTCTTTCAGAAGTGTGTGGGTGCCTTCACAATTCTATGGAGACGATTTGAGCCTGGCGTAGATTTTGATTACATGAAGATGGCACATGAGCCATTGTCTAAACTCCTAGTATCCCCTTTAATAACCCGTAGTAGTGCTATATATGATCCCCTATGTAACCCCCTTTAAGGAGTTTAGACTATAGCTCACATGAGATTCAGCAAAATATTTCAGGCACGCCCAGCTCACGTCAGTCATACCTCGAAATACGGGAGGGGCCTTTTCTCTCGAGAGAGATACTTGATCATAAACTCATCATCAGAAGCCTCCAACAAAAGGGATGAGAAGTCTCTCATCAAGACATGCTGGGCCATCCCTGAAGCCCGAACCCTAAGCCCGAAATCCTGAACCCCAAATCCTAAACCCTAGCCTAAACCCTAAACCTAAATCCTAAACCTAAATCCTAAACCCTAAATCCTAAACCCTGAACCCTAAGCCCTAAATCCTAGACCAAGTTATCCACCCAGGTCCCAGCCAAGAGACCAGCTCGTTTGACATTCCTCCTGACTTGGAGACGTAGGCAACCTGCTAGGGTTTAGGGGTTTAGGGGCTTCGGGTTTAGGGTTTAGGATTTAGGGTTTAGTGTTTAGATTTTGGGGGTTTGGGGCTTAGGGTTTAGTGTGTTGGGTTCAGAGTTTTGGGTTTAGGGAGCTGCTGCTGCTGCAACTGCTACAACACGCAGCACACACCCAAAAGCTGTTCGGCCCTTTGCTGGCAAATCATTTTAGGGTTTTATCATATGCAACCAACTGTCCAAACGGTGGAGCCATGGCGCTGTTGCCAGATGTTCTGCTGCACACCCAAGCTTTCGAAAGGAGAACCCCTCTTGCACTCGCCCGTACCACAACGTGGCTGACTCTCGTAGCTAAGGTCAAACAGCAGCTGCAATGCTGAGAAACCCCCCCAACCATACATAGTTATGCATAGCTATGCCTCCCTACCAAAGACAGAATATGGTAGTTTCCCTAAATAAGGGGACCCCAATATAGACCCCAATATACTATAATCCTTATTATGGGAACCCCTAAAATGGTATCCCCAATTTTTTTTAAAGAGCTTGCAAACTGGCAACCGACCCCGGGCGGTAGAGCCGGGACATGACGATGTTGTCCAACATTCCACCTCAGTGTTTTGAACCAAGGATGTAATGATATATGACGGTTTGCCAACATTGGGGGTACCATTTTAGGGGTTCCCAGAATAAGGATTATAGTATATTGGGGTCTATATTGGGGTCCCCTTATTTAGGGAAACTACCATATTCTGAATCTCGTGGCCCTGATGTTGGCAGCGACCCGTCTCCATCTTAGGGGGGTCCAAACTTAGAATCATGAGTTGAGGTTTGAGGGTTTGGATAAAGACAAAACGCAAAGAGATGGGCAGGTTGGGTCATGCTGAGCTCCTTCCTGCTGAGGAAGGAATTGAGGGCTGTGGCCTACTACAGCCGATGTTCCGCCTCAAGTAGATAGAATATGGGGTATATGGGGACCTTATTATAACATACGCAAAGCCATATTCTTTCTACTTAAGGGGGACTATATGTCAAGCAGTTTAAATCAGGAAAGATCAAGCGCATCCGCACAAACATTCATGCGTCAGTCTCAGTATCCGCTGATCCGTACACAGCTAGTACAAGAATAAGCCGAATCCTAAACCCTAAACCCTTAATAGTAGTTTCCATTCTATTTTCCATGATCCCAATGCAACTGCAACATAACCCCTATATAATCCCTAGAATCCCTACAGTTTTCATGTTCTTTTGCACTATCCCAATATTACCCCCAAAATTACCCCAATGGGTCCTATGAGCCCATGCCATGAACAGGTTTCAGGTCAACACTGAGAGACTTGCCACCTAAGAACCATCCCACGGCGATTCATGAAACCAGGGTTTAGGGTTTAGGGATTAAGGGTTCGGGATCAGGGTTTAGGCTTTAGGGTTTAGGGTTTAGGGTTTTGGGTACAGAGTTTAGGGAGCCGTGGCAGTCCTAATTGACACTTTCTGATGACTGTTCGCAGCTCATCAAACATTTACGATGACTTTCCCTCCAACCGGTAGACCATCAAGCTCCGAATCTAATCGCAGCTGAGCATCCTGTGTTGCCAATGCGAATACAGCCCGGCCTGAGGACACACGAAGACTCATCATATCATACGGAATCATATGTTGCTACTGAAGCTGTCTTTGAGCACCGTATGCCTTGCGAATTATGACTTTCCACAGTATACTATGGCAGGAGCGTTTGCAACAACAGTCGGACATCGCTATACTTGCAAGTTGCTGTCAGGTTGGAAATACTGGCCTCATATGGGCCCTTAGCCGTGTTTGGGGGGGGGAATTCGAGGGCCGCTTGAGGGCTGTGTGGGGTATGTAGTAGGTATTCAGGGACTCATACTTGAGAACAATCACTGAAACAGCACTGGTAAGACACCCCATGACGATACAGTGCCAACCCTTGTCTGGCAACACACAAGTTTCTGCCCATGCGCTCTGCCTAAGTTTGGTCATTGGATGACCGTACAAAAGTCGACTAGCTGTGCTTCAGCAACTCAGATTGGCACAGCAACCCTCCTTAAGATCATGGTGAACACAATAAGGGCAGCAATAAAAAAATGCAACAGCATGAATGAGCCAAAGGCATGACAACTAGCATGGTACTCCTGCTGTAATTCTCTTCCCCTTTCATGATTTGGTGGGCGCAGATGTAGGTACGCGTCCATTACAAAGCACTAGCGTCATCCAGAGTGGCAATAAAAATACGAGTAATAGCAAGGATAGTACTGATAACAATATTCTTAATACAAACCGAATGAAATATGAAAATATCAGTACTACTGGTGATAAAAGAAAATAATTACCAGCACTAGTAGTAATTTGAGAACACAAATAATGTACTATTCAAAGTAGTATTGTTGTAGTACTTGTAGGGCCCAGACTTGATCCCACCCACCGTGGCTGGGCCGATCATGCCGATCTCGCGCATCTCGGCTTCCTCTGGGATCCGAGAAAAATAGGGAGATAGAGAGAAAGATAGAGAGAGATGTGTATATATATATATACCTATATATATATATATATACACCCTAAACCCTAAACCCTCATGTTTTACATAGACAAGGCTAAAGGTTTCCAAAAATTGGGGCACCGGAGTGTGCATCATTCTATTGGCCACAGATCCAGGCAGAGTTCTACAAGATGTCCTCTTACTTGCGGTTGGTAGGAAATATCAGGATATAGTATGAGGGGAGTATATGAACCATAGTCTACACTCCTACTGTGCCCCTTCATAAGCCCTAGAATACTCCGCTAGATAATACCCTGCATAATCCCCTGTAAAGAACTTAGACTGTAGCTCATGTCTGCATGTAGGTTGCAAATCAACTGATCCTGCTGTGTTTGAATGATTTGGATAAGGCTCCTCTAATCTCTGGCGAGTTCACGAACATAGTGAAAACTGCCTGGGTTTACCCCTCTCCCTCGTCAAGGACAAGGCCTTGATCAGCAATCGCGTCTGCTGCTCCGGGACGCCCTGAACCAGACTTGTCAAGGCAGCTTTTCGCAAAGGTTGTAAAGCAGGCAAAAGCGGGCTTGGGGGCTCATGGCTCCTAAGCTGCAGCAGCTAGTCCCTCATACTCTCCGATTTCCGGCCTCAGCGATGATGGCCACCTATGCACGGTCCCAACCAAGACTCACATGGCAAGCACGTGTCAAGAAACTGCCCGGGGTTGGGGGGGAGCTGGTGTTCACACTGCCCAATGCTCATCCCTCAGACTACGACTCATACTTTCAAAATCGCACTTCTCCCATCATCCTCATACATTCGGGAAACTCTTCACATTACAAGGCAGGCGATGGTGAGACTTCTCGCTGGGGAGCTTGCGGTTTTCATCTGCGGGTACTGCATGGCTTCCTTGGCTAAGCTGGCACGTCAGCAATTCTGGAAGTCATACAGTAGAAGAGCTGCCCGTACTCTGTATAAGAAGGTACCTACACCTTTAACACGCCAGCATGGTGCTTGCCTTTTGGAAGCAGACTACCCATATCAACCTATGAACGAACGCGCACTGGTCCACATAGGAACCCATCAGAAGAATGTTCCCCCCCCCTGCTTCATGCGAGCCATTGCCTAAACTCCTAATATCCCCCTTAATACCCCCTATAGTAGTCCCATATATAATCCCCTATATAACCCCCCTTAAGCAGTTTAGACTATAGCTCATGTGGACATGCGTTTGCTGCATCGAGCTTCTGGGCCCTCACGGAGCCCATTGCCAAGCCCTACTGTTCCCGCATAGAATGACCTCCCCCCTTGTAATCAAACCCTTCACTCCCAACAAATGGGGTTTTCCTAAAATTAAGGGTACCATTTTGCGGATCCTTATAATATGGACAATAATATTTGGGGGTCTATATTGGGGTATTGGGGTTCCCTTATTTTGGGAAATTACCAAATACTCCCCCTAGCATACATTTTGTACCTCATTTTTCTTGGGGGGGTTATGTTCAGGGGCATGTCACTAGGGTTTAGGGTTTAGGGTTTAAGGGTTCAGGGTTTAGGGATAGGGTTTGGGGTTTAGGGTTCATATCATTGCTCGCCTACATCCCCCTCAGGCAAGGAGCCATGGTGGTCTCGTAGACAGACCGGAAAGAAGCGAAGTTGATGAACCTTAGACTAGGTTGTTGCTAGGGTTTCGGGTAAGTACTATAGTGAGGAAACCCCATTATGTACCACAGACTACATACCCATAACGTGAATTTAGTTAAAGTTGCGCAGAGTCTCGCAGGCTAAGAGGCAGGGACTCCAATAAACCCTAAACCCTAAACCCTGTATCCTGTAAGCCGCTTGATGGGTTTTCTCATACAAGGATCCGTACGGCTATCAAGGAACTATCAGACGTGTCGCTGTTCAGAACCCTTGATGTTGCCCAAGGAAAAGTAAGTCGGACTCAACTCACCAAGAAGAATCACCATCAGGCATCACAGATCAAGAGGATAAACTGAACATGACTGAACACGAGGCCCGTGCGTAATTGCATCCGTGTGCTTCTGGCACGCCTCTTTCGTTGTGGTGTAGACGGGTAGCAGGATCTCCTGACACAGACCGGCAAAATGCTCAGGTCGATGTTTACCTCTGTCCTGCCTGTGTGCCACGAAAGCAAGAACAGCTCCACGTGATAGCTGTGCAGTTCGTTGCTTGCCAGCTGTTCTAACCCTCTGCTGCATCGGTTGCACAGGCAGAGTCCTCCGTGCCCCAGTAAAACTTGACGTAATGGTTGCCACTGAACGGGAATACCTGCCCAGCAAGGCAGTAGAAGCCTGGAAAAAACTTGACAGAGGCATAGAGACTGGCTGCTGAGACTCTGCATGGAGATAGAGCATGTCCCCACCTGTTTTGGAAACTAAGTGCGGAAGGCCACGGATTCAAAAATGCCATGAAGCACAAGTCTAAGATGTGGCTGCCACACTTCACTAGATCAGCCACTCTGGGCGCTGAAGGCCAAGACTCTCTTTATCCTGGCAAGGCCGGAAATCCCCACATTCGTTTGGGCAAAGACTATGTTTTCTGGCTTGCTCTTGTGGTGCCTACGTACACAAGGAATCAAGCGAGTGCTATGCCGCATGAAACCTCTAAAGCCTGGTCAAGGCCATGTCTTTCCTGGAGGACAAACCCACATGATTTCAGGTGTTGCTGCTGTTGCTGGAAGACTCATGCGCAAGACTCATCCCGCTGCAATTCGTACAACATGGCCTTTGTCAAAGAGCTAACTCAGCTAACTCCCTGTGATTCCTTGCAGAAGAATAACCTTCTTTGATTTGTATTTTACTTCCTGGACGCAGCAAAGTTACGTTCAGGCGGACAAGGACTTGCTCCTAGAAGCGATCAGTGCTAGCTCGTTGGGCTGGCGCACCATGGCACACACAGACGGGGTCTTTCGCTTGCACATGAAGTCGAAGTCCAGCATGCCCTGGCTTGCCGCATCCACAGCATCAGTCGCACCAACTTGCACCAGCACTTTGTGTGCAATTCCCTTGATCGATCAACGGGTCGCACACTTGAACCAGGTCAATTGCCAAAAGGAGTGTAGGGAATGAGAGAGAAGATTTCATTGCGCGGAAAGGTGAGATGGCGGGCAACCTGGGTTGCCAGCCTGCACCGCCCGGTTTTGCATGCCGTACACGATCGCCCTGCACGAGACATGAACTGTTGTTATACTATATTATACAATAATATAGTACTTTAAGTATATTGTAGTATAATGTACTATGTTATACCATTATACAGTATAATATACTCTAATATACTACAATATCATTAGAGATCTTTTCCTGCGATCATGGAAGCGTTAAACTCAGCATGCGGTTCCCGCCTGGTCTCTGGAGTTGCAGTCACGATCGTGTGTCTCTCACCTGCCATGCAGAACTCCCTAGACACGACCAGCACACATCAACATCAACAGACCTGCTCTGACTTGCTGAAGTAATCATCATGTGAGCTCTAGCCTTAACTCCTAGTATATCATACTCCCCTATATAATCCCCTGTATACTCTCGTTTCAGGAGTTTAGACTATGGCTCATGTGAAAGCAAAGGCTATGATAGTAGGAACCATGCTCAGTCACACGTGCCTTTAGGCGGTGCCTTTTGCGTCTTCTTTGCTCCATTGGTATTCTTCACCTGTCATGGCTCAGCGACCCACCCAAGCCCCCTCACAGCATCCTCCCTAGAAAGAGTTGCAGGCCTAGGCGCATAGTGGCTCATGAACCCCATCAATAAGCCCGTCCAGCGGCCAACTTTGCAACGCCAAAAACCTTTTTCAACAGGAGCTATACATATAGGGCTATATAGGGCCACATAGGGATTTATATATACATATATCCTAAACCCTAAACCCTGAAGAAACCCTAAACCCTGAACCCTGAATCCTAAGCCCTAAGCTCTAAACCATAAACCTTAAACCCTAATCCCTAAATAGTAGTTTCCATTTTCTTTTCCATTATCCCAATATTTTGAATAGTCAAAACCTAGACACTCTCTTCAGCCCTGAACCCTAAACCCTACAAACCCTATGACCCCTATTAACCCTATAAACCCCATAATCCCTATAAACCCTATAAACCCTA